CACACACACACACACACACACACACACACACACACAGCAGACAGTTATTATATACAACACACTGTAAATTGTAAGACAGGAACACACCCACAAACTGGCACACGTTGATTTAAGTCTATAAAATTGCTGCTGCGTTCCTTTTCACTTCACAGTCTTTGCATCAGTCGTCTCTTCTCTTTCTGTACAACACAATCTCCTCACTTCCTCCAGCTCAAAACTCTTAATTTAGCCAGGCCTCTCTCTGAGGCATATTTCACATGAGAAGAATTTCCTGTGTTCTGCTTCTATCAGAGAGGACTGACGGTCTGAAAGCAACACACACAGACCATCTTTAGCTTGTCAGTGTGGGAGGGAGGATGTGTGTTTTGATTCTACATTGGGTATGCATACTAATGTGAGTGATGAGATAATGTGTACCCTCTTGAGGCCGTTCTTCCRTGTGGTATGGAGCAAAAAACTTGACTTCCTGTACAGTGGTGGTCCAGACTTTACAYAAAATTTACTCTGAACTAGGAGTGGGTGATATAACTGAAAAGTATTGTTATATTATATATTGCAATATATGTTATATGTCACAATATTTTTAAATCCACCTTTAATCATTGTGTTAATGTTTAATTCAAAGATATAATCTAATACTGTGGTGACCAGTGGCAGACCTTTTCCCCTGATATTTAAAAACAACAACAACAACAAAAACACTCTCCTTACGTATTTCAACGTCAGAACTGAGTTTTAATCAGTTGGTCTGCACGTTTTTTCCTGAATGGTAAAGGAGTAATTTTCACATTTGAAGTGCCTGGGAAAAGCCAAACTCTTATTAGCTAAAAAAAAAAAAAGAAAAAAAAAAAAAAAAGAAAAACAGCTGGTAAAACGTATACATAAAAAAGGGCAATAAATGTTTTTAGTTTATTACCCAAGTTCATTAATATAGAAAATAAACTGTGCTCAAAAACATGTGAAGTGTTTCATTATTGTTCAGAGAGTACAACTATAATGCAGGTCATATCAAGCTAATGACAGCATAAAAAAACTACAGTATTTTTCGGACTATAAGTCGCACCTGCCATTTAAAAAAAAAAACCCGCGAACCTTAGCATATAAGCCGCACCGGACTATAAGCCGCACCCCCAATATGAAAAAAACAGTACACCCAAAATTGTCGTCAAAAAAAAAAAAAAATGAATTCAACATCAAAACATAAAAAGCAAACCTTTAGGAATTAAAGTTTGGAGGAATGCGGTTCATTTAACTGACCTTATTTTGGTAGTTTTAACAGTTTCTGGTCCAACAAAACGTCTCATTCATCGTCCTTCAGCGCACTGAAACATCGAAGTCCTCCTCTTCAGTGTCGGAGTTAAACAAGCTGAGAAAAGCTGCGTCACACAGCGGTATCTGTTCAGTGTTGCTTTCTGTGTCGCTGTCCTCCCGGGGTAATGCTGGCTCTGAAGCTGTGGTGTCCTCTTCATGTAGCAGTCTAGCCTTTCAGACACTTTCCTGCTCCAGGGTCAAATCCTCTCAACATAATTCCTTTCCAGCTAGTGTTAAAATTAACATTTCTATTATGCATTGTTGTGTATCCAGGNTTTTGATGCTACAGCAACAAACATTGCAGTTGCAGCCGCACAACAGAAACACTATTATGACAGGAAAATGAGACTTGAAGCTTATAATCCAGGGGATTTGGTGTGGGTTGACCTCCCCTCTTTGTCTAGGCATAAACTAGCTCCTAGATGGACTGGTCCATTCAAAGTTTTGAGCCGGCTGGATTTTGATGCTGGCGTCGGTGTTGACTATGAGGTGTTGGACCAACTTGACCCCAGGGCAAAACCCAAAATTATTCACTACAACCACTTCAAGCCCTATCGGTCTACTGTACCCAGGTCACCTTGGCCGAACTGGTCACCCAGCTTGCCTCYTACTGTGACACCACCTCTGACTGCTCTCTCAGGATCTAGACCATGGACATTTGAGTGAAGTGAGACATGCATGCCTAACAGGGCCCATGATGCTCTGACTCCTCCCAGTGGTAAAAATGAGGGTAGCATTCCAGTTGCAGCTGCAGGCCCACCGGTCATTGAAACGCCGTCTCCAGGGGAGCTACGGACTAGGTCTGGGCACCCTATCCGCCCCCCACAATGTTATACACCTGACTTGTGAAGTTTTTGTTTCTTTCTTTCCCCTTCTCTATTGTGAAGGTCGGATTTTGGTTATGGTATGTTATTATTTTGATGACTTTATTTTTTTTAATAGGACATGAGGTTGACATTTTTTGGTGTTATTTCTTTATTTCTACTGTCATTTTTTCTCTTTACCCCTGTGAAAATGTTTCCTTACTGTATTACTATATACTGGGTGTAGTTCTGTTTTATGACAGTAACTGTTTCTATTTTTTTCCTGTACGATGGGGCCAGCTCATTTTGGTTCTGTTTGAAGCGGGGACGCTTCTTTATTGTAAGGGGGAAGTAGTGTAAGAACAAATATTGTAGTAATGAAAATGTGTAATGTTTTGAAATATTTTATTGTGAAAGTTGGATGTTTTATTGTGGAAAGAGGTTTCCGGGGGAGAGAGAGMAAGTGGATGTAAAAACMGMGAGTTCTGTAATGGCGGCTTTGGAGCGTGGAAGTAAATGTTCGTCAGTTGAATAAGAGCTCAATCGTGTCTGTGGATTTATTTCACTTTTCTATAAGAAAGAATCACAGTATTGGGAAACCTACGAGCCTTATACTGGTGGCAGCGGTGTCGAGTTTGGGACTCTTCTCACAGTTTGGCTGACTTTTAAACTGGCGCGAGCTAGCCATTACTTCAGTGC